ACGGAGGCCCTCTGGTCCTTGACCTGGCTCCGGACTGTGGACAGCGAGCAGGGCGGCAGCTGACGGCACAGCTCGAGAGTGGGGCAGCCTGGGCTGGGAGCACCCCTGCTCCTGGGCCCTCCATCTCTTGCCCTGTAAAATGGGGCAATAACAGCAGCTGCCTCGGTCATGAGTAAGGGGCCACACTGGCACAAAGAGACCTGAGTCCACGCGGGCTCGTGGTGTGAGTTCTCAAGGCCCAAGCTCCGCCACTGCAGAGGTCCCGGGAGGAGGGCAGAGAGCTGAAAGGAAAGGAGGCAAGAAGGAGGCAATTATCTGCAGCCTGTTTCTCCCTTTCTGGAGTCAGAAACGGCACAGGCTGGTCCACGCCCCAAACAAGAAGCCAGGCCGGCAGCGTCCTGCCCACCTGGCCAGAAGCCCGGACCCGTGGCCGCCCCTGCGAGCACCTCCCTGCTCTGAAACAGAAAAGCAGCAGCTTCCGAGCCTCCGGCCCCCTGCTCCATCATTCAGGTGGGCCCGAGTGGGCCCGGGGGGGGCCCCTGTTGCCTGACCATGACAACAGACACAGGCACCTCTCCCAGTGCATCTGTTGCTAGTTCAGGGCCCCACAACCAGGGCTGCTTCTGCCTTCCCCGGAGGTGAGGGTCAGCAGTTCCCCTGACATGTCTCAGAGGTGGAGCTTGAGTCTCTTTGAAAGGAAGGAGTTAACGGAGACCTGCATCCCCCCAGAAAGCCGGCCAGGGTGCCCACCAGGAGAACGTCTCCTCTGACCTTTCGGGGCCACCAGGAAGTAACTCCCACCCTAGGACCATCCACATGGTCGGGAGCTGGGTGACCAGGCTTCCGGGTCAAGGAGGAGGGATATTTCCCAGGAGTGACCAGGAAGGAGAGGCTGCTGGTCAGAGAGTGGGAGCAGAGCTGGAGCCAGACAGGAAGTCACCGAGGATTTGCGGCCTCCGAGCCCTAGGCCCTGTACCCCAAGGGGACAGGGACAGGCAAGAGGCCCAGTCTAGTGTCTCCTGTGGGTGAGCACCCAGCCATGTCCGTGTTCAGACACGCTTGAGAGAACTGGGATGTTTACCCTGGCACACGGGCCGTGCTCACACACCTGCAGGCCCGTCGTGTGGAAAAGAGAGAGGCTTGTTCTGCGAGGACCAAGAGGCGAAGTTACCGGAAGGCAGGGTCTTCTCATCCAAAAGCGATTCCTCATGATGCAACAGGATCAACGGTAGACCAGGCTGTCTGGGAGCACGCCGTGGGGGTCCCTGGGCCTGCAGGTGTGCCAGCAGAAGTGTGGACTTGCTCACGATGTTAAGGAAGGGCTCGGGTGTGAGGTTGGGTGGGATGAGCCTGGAACCTTCCGGCTGTCCTGCGATGACACAGGATCCACAGGAGTGAGAGGGCAGCAGGCTGTCACTGCATTCAGCCTCTTGTGCTTCTCTTCACCTCCCTCCAGAACAAGTCCTTTGAGAACCTAAAAGGTCAAACATGCTCTCTGGGGTGACAGAGAGAAAGGGGACGGCAGAGGACCACCCCAGCAGGTGCACAGAGCCCCCCTCACTGTGGAAGACAGAGAGCGCCTTGGGAAGTGAGTCTACGAGGCAAAATGCAGAGTCCAGCCCCCCAGAGAATCTGCCTCAGGGACTCGGCCTGGGACCCCACAGCCGCGTTTGAAACCCGCATCCCAGGACCACCCGGGGAAGTGTGAGGAGGGGAGACAGGAGGGCGGGCTCTGGAAGATGGTGGCGAAGACCAGCTCAGATGGGCGATGCCCGTGAGCAGGAGGGAAGCCGGGTGGCTCATGGGGCAGGTCAGGGTCCTACAGGGGCCTCGGGGCCATTTCTTCATGGGGCTGATTTGTCATTTCCCGAAATACAACTGACTGACTGCCCCCTATGGCCCCGCGAGTGGCACCCCAGCACACACACACGCACCCACGCGTGCACACTCTCATACACACACATATATGAGCAAACTGGATGGAGGGGAGCTTCCAAGCACTTAAAACAGTGGTTGGTTAGTTAGTTAGTTAATTAGATGGATTCTTCTTCCAGGGATTTCTTGAGGAGACAGGCCTCAAGCCTGTCAAGGTGAGGCAACACCCTTGAGTCAACAACTAGCCCCCAGAAGAAGCTGGTGGGGGGAGGGGGGAATGGTTGTATGGCTCACAGCATCGTTTACCATCTTCACCAGTCCCAGACTGGTCCATGGTGGGGGTTGGTGATGGAGAGAGACCCAGAGAGACTGGCAAACAGACAGAGACACCAGAGTGCCCCCCCGCCGGCACCCATCTGTGCAGATGCCATGAGGTGGGGACCACAGGGAGCTCAGGACCCCACCCGTGGCATGGGGTGGGGTCCGTCAGTCTTGGCTGGCCAGGCCCTCTTCCTCCCTGTGACAGAGGAAGGCGGTGGGGCTGCCTCATCGAGTCAAAGTGCCACTAACCACAGGGTTTGCTTGGTGGGTTTTTTCAGCGGGTTTCCTGCAGTTGGGGTGAGAGGAGAGGGGGCATGAGAGGTTAGTGCCTGGGGAGGGGGCACGTGGCCACACTCCCACGTGGGCCTGTGCTCCTCCCCCCACCAGCCAGCCCAGTGGCCCCCTGGTTCCAGCACAGAGCAGTCCCAGCCCCCTTCTCCCCTGGCATCCTGAGGGTCTGGGCACGAGTGGCTGAGGGCTGGAAGACTGGGACAGAGAGCTTCTCTGCTGCCACAGTGTCCCTCCCTCCCGTGCCTCATCTCCATCCTGCCTGGGCCCATGGGTCTCTCTTCTCTTTCAGAATTAGGCCCATTTGGTTAAGGTCCCCCCAAACTGAAGAATTCTCCGAACGGAGGCCCCTCGGCTCATGGCCCCTTTCCAGATCAGCCTCTGGAGGTGTCAGCAAAGCTGAGCCCCAGTGTATCCACTCAGGGACTTGTCATTTATAGGAGGGGCTGCCAGGGGTTCCAGGAGGGGTTTCAGGGTGCGACAGGGTGTGAACGTGCAGATGGACTAGAGGCAGGTTCTGTGCATCCCGCAGCAAAGCAGCTGCCCCTGAAACCTCCGTTTCCTCGCTGACTCAGAGGCCGGTGGGGCCCTCAGCCAATTAAAAAGTGTCCCAGGGTGGCCCGCCTGGTGGCGTAGCAGTTAAGTGCGCGTGCTCCGCTTCGGCGGCCCGGGGTTTGCAGGTTTGGATCCCAGGAGCACACCAACGCACTGCTTGGCAAGCCATGCTGTGGTGGTGTCCCATATAAAGTGGAGGAAGATGGGCACAGATGTTAGCCCAGGGCCAGTCTTCCTCAGCAAAAAGGGGAGGAATGGCAACAGATATTAGCTCAGGGCTGATCTTCCTCACACACACACACAAAAAGTGTCCATGGGGGGCCTGCCTGGTGGCGTAGTGGTTAAGTTTGGCTCACTCCGCTTTGGCGGCCTGGGTTCGAGGTTTCGGATCCCAGGTACGGACCTACACCACTCGTCAGCCATGCTGCAGTTGCAACCCACATGCAAAGTAGAGGAAGATCGGCACAGATGTTAGCTCAGGGGCAATGTTCCTTAAGCAAAAAAAAAAAAAAAGTTGTCCATAGAGCACCTGGGTGTTTACAAAGCGTCCTGATTCTCTAGCCAGAAGGGGGCTTCTCCAGGCCCCAAGGGGACAGCCTCCTTCCCTTGTCCTTACTGTTCATAACAGGGCACTCAGGAGACCCTCCAGGGAATAGAAGCCATGGTGCCCTGACCTCAGTGGGTCCTTCTGACACTCTGCTTCCATTACTCCTGCTCCCCAGGACATACCTACCCACCAAGACACACCTGCCCACCTGGATACACCTGCCCACCTGGACACACCTGCTCACCTAGATACACCTGCCCACCTAGATACACCTGCCCACCTGGACATACCTGTTCACCTGGACACACCTACTCACCTAGACACCCCCGCCCACCAAGGCACCTTGCCCACCTGGACATCCTGCCCACCTGGACACCCTGCCCACCTGGACACCCCTTCCTACTTGCAGGACCTCAGTGTGGTGGTGGCCTCAGCCCCTCCCTCCCTCCCCCCTACCGTCTCAGTGCTGGGGCTGGGCTGCCTAGGAAGCTCGCCCAAGATGCTACCGGCTTCCACAGCTCTGGATTCAGACCCCGAAGCAGGCACCCACGCGCAGAGCAGGTGGGAGGATGGGAGGGACCCGCCTACAGCTTCCCCCTCAGGGTCCAGCAGGTCTAGGGGAGTCCCTCTCTCAGCAGGGGACAGCAGTCAGGTGTCCTCATAAACAACTACTCAGAGGTGCACACCCTGAGAAGCTCCGGCTTCTGTGAGTCAGGGTGCTCAGAACACGAGAGCAACAACAAAGTCACTAACACCACTCAAGAGCCGCGTGGCCTCTGAGGGTGCTGAGAGGCTGGGCGTCGGCATGCTTCCGAGGGTCAAAAGGAAAGTTTCCACTTTTAAGAAAATTAAATGTTTTCTTACTTTCAGGGTGATGTGCACGCTGGGGTGAATGTGCACGCACACACACGCACACACATGCTCGCACATGCATGCACATGCGCGCACACTCGCACCCAGGCTTGTATGCAGCCACACACCCCAACAACACCTTTACCTTCAAGAACGTTTTTCTCCAGCCCAGCACCCCAACTCTCCTTAGCAGAGAGGGCTCTGTTCTGAGACACAGGTGGCCTCTGCTTTCTCACATGTGGGACGGCTTTGCTGGGGAGTTTTTGCAACGCTGGTGGCCCTTTTTATTGCCGGGCCAGGGCCGTGATCCACTCGGTGAGAAGAGAAAGGGCCGTCATCCTGCCTCCACCTCCCCACTGGGCTCCAGGGGGCTCCTGGGTGTGGGCAGGCTAGGGGGGCCAAGGGCCCCCTGGTGCCCAGTGGGTGGGCTGGGGTCCAGACACTGACTTGCCTTCCTGCTCTGAGCCCAGGCAGCTGGGTTTCTCGTTGGGCGAGTGCAGAGAGCGCTGACCAGCACACAGGATGTCTCTGACGCTTCTCGGTTTTCTTTCCTGCTGGGCAGATCTCCGAAGACCTGGGCAGCGAGAAGTTCTGCGTGGATGCTAATCAGGCAGGGGCTGGCAGCTGGCTCAAGTACATCCGTGTAGCATGCTCCTGCGATGACCAGAACCTCACCATGTGTCAGATCAACGAGCAGGTAGGTCCGGGACTGGCACACAGGGGACTTCTGCCCTTGGAGTTGTCCTGGGGGCCTTGGCACCAAGATGGATGGGAGTGGGGGTGCCGAGGTGAAGGGTCAGCTGCGTCTCTGCCGAGTGCTTTGCCAAGCCTGGTCCTGCACTGGGGGCGGCTATTTGACACTTGGCCAACACTGAGTTTCCGGGAGCTCAGTGACACCCCATGAATGCTCCATTGAAGCCTGCGGTCAGCAGCCTCGCCCAAGGCTGACTGGGCTTGAGAGCCGAAAGATGATAGTTTGCGTGAAGAAAGGCAGCCGGAGCGGGCAGGATCCGAAACTACAGGGGTCCACATTCCCTACAAATACCCTCCATGAGAGAAGCGGAGGGCTGGACCCAGCTGCTTGAGAATTGTGTTTGAGTGACTCTGTTTAACCCAGCTCTCCAGAAGGGTCAGCGCTGGCTATCTGGAAGGCTGAAATGCAGCCCCAGCTGCCCAGAGCCCCCCCAGAATCGCTGTGGCAGCCTGGCCAGCCTGCAGAGGTGACTGGCCTTGTTTTGGCACAAAATCTTGGCCCCGCAGGGGGAGCCAACTAATATTTTTCCTGGGCTGTGTGGTCCTGACTTCGGCCTCAGGCCTCACCAGGGCCAAGGATAACCTTCGCTTCTGCTGCCAGCCCCCGGGGGCCAAGGACCCCGTGCGGCCTGCCTGATCCTCGCTCACCGCAGCGCATCCGTGCCACCCCAGGGATGCAGGCATCGCTGGCTCTCAGTCCTCGTGGCAGATGTCCAGACTCATGAGCTGATCAGGATAGGAGATGCTGTGCGGAGTTTCTATCCACCAAGAAGGCAACGTGTCCCCAGTGCTGGGAGCTCTCAGTCGATGTCTTTAGTTACAAGTTTGCAAGTGGCCCCCCAAGACTCTTCACGCTCTGGAGCCAGGCTCCTGGGGCCACGTTTTCACTCTGTGTTCACAGAGCACTGGGTTCCTGGGGAGCCCGGAGAGCACGGCCCCTTCCATCAGAGCAGTTTGCTTTTGCCTGTAATATCTTGGGGTTACACATGAGATTTCATTTGCAAAAAGGATTCCATTGCTTTCAAAAATGTTTGCTGAGACCACATAACAAAGGGTACATTCTCACGTCGGTGTGCAAACCATTAACATCGGCTCGAGGCTCTTGACTTGAGGGAAATAGTTTTGCATTAAGAAACGCAGAGAGCGCACACCAGGGAGGTCCCCAGGACCCCCGTCAGCTGCCGGGCGGCTCTCCCTCATCTGCTCCATCTGCTTCTCGGCCGTGGGGCAGCCTGGATCGAGCAGTTCTCCCTGGACACAAGCTGGTGCTGGAGGCCGTGAAGCTCGAATCCACCTCTGCTACCGGAACGTGTACAGCTGATAGTCAGAACCCAAAATTTGGAAAATAACTTGTCTTTCTGATTGCCAAAAATATTGCAGAAATAAAGGGAAAGGAATGATCATAAAAATTAGGAGAGAACTTTAAAAGAAAAAAAGCTTTCCTTCTTCCAGATGAGAGTGAAACGTGAGCAAAGGAGAACTGGATTTAAAGCACAGACAGACGGTCTTTGCATCGCACTTTCTTTGCGGAGAGCGGGTGTCCCTGGTTGTGGGTCTGGAAGCCGAGGGGCAGTAGAAGGAATGCCGTGGGGCAGGGCCCAGGACTGCACTTTTGTGAGACGCGGGATAGAATAACGAAGGATCCAGATTTTTTATTTAAGAAATAAATGTCCGTTAGACTGTGTGAACCAAATTTAAGCAGTAAAGTAGGTATCTTTATGGAACGAGCTTTAAAAAAGCAAATGAGATGTATAATCTTCTCAAAGAGAAGCCTGTCTTCCAGCATCTTTGTTTTATTATTAAAATTTCAGGGAAGCTTTTATTTCAGCTCCACACGGAGTCCAAATGGAAGTGAATGTTTTGCAGCAAACTGTCTTTCCATCGTCAGGACCAGGGGACAGAAATACTTTCTGCTGAGATGGAAGAATAATCCTTAACTCTCACTGACTCCCTTTCATTTAACCCACTTCCACCGCCCGACGCTGACCCGTTCCAAAGCTCCGTCCTATCGTCTGAACTGTACCTGGCTGTTACTTAAACCCAACGTGACATCAAAATTCCTTCAGACTCCTCCTCACCTGATGGACATTTCTCCCCAACACGGCCTCCTCGGGGGATTAATTATCCCCACCTTAGTTCACAACTCCGGGGGAGCTTGGGATGTGCATTTGAGCGAATGCGGCACCAAATGCCCCAAAGCAGGGAAATTCCTCTGCCTGGGGCCTGTCAACCCCTCAGCCCTCCGAGGAGACGGGAGCCCTGCGCCCACGGCGCGTGATTGCTGTTGTTACAGACCCGCTGAGGTTCCAGCCAACATCCCTGCTAAGGCGCCCCTCCAAACTTAAATCAGCTGTGTGGCTGTGGCCTCCAAAATGCCTGGGAAAGCAGGAGCCAGCGAGAGGCGGCTGGCTGGTGGGCACCTGGAGGGGAGGTGCTGGCAAAGTCATCAGGCACCTAGCTTCTCCTCCTAAAATCGCAACATTGCATTTCAGATATCAAAGGAAAATGAGCAATTTTCCTTTGAAAAATAATACTCATAATTTTCAACAGTAATAATAATATGAAAAACTGCTCTTAGTTACTCATAGACTCTCAATATTTGTTGGTTGAATGAAGGGACTTTTAGAAATGCCTTTTTGAATGGGATATAATATATTTCAAGCTATTTTTTAAACAGTCTCCCAAAAACTGACTTGCTGTCTCTCAGTGTGAAGGGCACACAGCCTCAGCGGAAAATATTTCCGTTCCCGGTTCTGACCGCTGGAAACGCGGGTTGCTGCAAAGCCACCGACATGACCCTATGTGGAGTTGGAATAAAAGCTTCCCTGAAATGTTAATACTACAACAAAGATATCTGAAGACAGGCTCCTCTTTGAGAAGGAAACATTACACACTATTAATGGGGTTTCTCAGATTTCCATAATCCCAAGAGTTTCTACCAGGATTTCCTGGCACTTATGGATACCCCCCACACACACACACACAAACACACAAACACACTTAAGGGAACAATTTCCCTTTTTCTCTCTCCGCCGCACCCACTCACGCACACCTCCTCCCAGCCCAGCACGGACACAGAGGGGAAGGAATCCAGATTGAAGATCTGAGACCCATAAAACAGTTTTGGGTTTGCCAGATGGGATTCAGTAGGGAAGTCATTTAAGTCAGAAAAGCACTAATGTTGTCTTGAAGTTCAAGACACACGACCTTAGCCCCACTTTTCAGAGGACAGAGGAGACTGGGCAGGAGAGAGTCTCAGGGCCCTAAAGAGGAAGTTCCTGAAGCCGCGGCCCCCACGAGTGGCAGGTGAGGGGCAGTTCTGAACAGCCTGGCCTCCTAGACGGTCCTGTGTCTTTGGAGAGACCCACACGTCGTTGGAGGTTGGAGGTCGGGGGGCCGTCATCAACCTCAGCCCGGCACGGCCTGTGCTGGTGGCCTGCCTCGTGCGTTCAGACGGGTCCTGGAAACGGGCGCAGCCCACGCACCCCGGGCAGCCCTGAGCAGCGAGCGGCTCTCCAGCTCACGTCTTGGACCCACGGGGAACCCAGAGGCTGGCAGCATAGCACCCACAGGGACTCTTCTGTCCATCTGGCCAGGCCTCCTCCTCCCCGGAGCCAGACCCCTGGCCACGTGTCCTGCTCCCAGCCTCACCCGGCGTGCCCTGGGACAGGCGAAGGCTGGCGCGTGTGCTCCTATGTGGTGATTTGGGGCAGGGGAAGATGGATGTGAGAAAAAGTGAACCCCGGGGCTTGAAAGAATTCAACAAGTGTCCAGAAAGTTCCCCAGAGAACTCCGGCAGTGTGCTGCCTCCTGGCCGTGGAGATGCAGTCACGGAGGCCCCAACACCCCTCCTTCCCAGACAGCGGCAGCCTCCAGTTCCACGTGAACTGGGCTGTCTTGTCCACGGACTGTGTCGCACCTATGGCATGGGAACGCAGGGCAGTGCTCACGGCCCTGTCTCCAGGTTCTCAGCTTTGCCACGAGACCCCCTGTTGGTGCCCCGTGGCTCTGAGGGTTTTCTGCCCCAGCAGAGCTCGGGGAGGGGTGACCAGCCTGTCACTTTGCCCTGCACCTCTGGCGCCTGCCTCAGTTCTCCCCCTGTGGCTCCAGATAGGGGATCCCAGGGCAACAGAGGCCACGAGGGGCCATCAATTTCCTTCTGGCCCAGACCCCATTCCCTAAAAAAAGATGACTGTGGTTTGCTACTAGCCTAGAGCCCACAGACACTCTTGAGTCAACACAGGCTTTAGAGCGACCCGGCTGCTAGAATAAAACATCCACAGCAGACTGCTAGGGACCAAGTCTTTCTCTGGGATTTGGGGGGTGGTCTATCACGGCCGTAGAGCTCAGCATGCACAGAGGGCAGGGCAGAGCCCACAGGGGCCTCAGCTCACTTTGGGTAGCAGGACTCCTCCCCTGGCCCTCCTTGCCTCTCTTCTCACTCCACCAGCCTCCAACTCCTGCTTTTCCTTTTGGGAAATTCAAGACGCTCAGATCACCCCTGGGTGGTACTTTCTCCTGCAGTTATGAGCAAATGCGTTGGTTTGAAATGTTTCGTAAGACACAGACAGAGTCTGTTCCTGGATTTGTTTTAATGTTAAGAAAGAAAATAAGAGCTTGGAGATCAAGTGCCCATGGGGGGAAGCAGGGGCGGGAATCGGCCTGTTCACGGCGCAGCTCTTTCTCTTGGTCCCACGTCCCTCAACAGGGTGAGGATGTTGGTGGCAGGATGTCACATGGCCGGTGAGGCTGAGGATGGTGTGACATGGTGCTGGAGTCACACATCTTGGGGAGCATGACTCGGAGGCTCCAGACCACACCCCCCCCACCCCCTACCCCGCGCACCTCGGAGAGACTGAGAGGCCCACGCTGCCCTCCACGGCTGGCCGGGCATCAGGAAAACCCGCACCACCAGCACATTCCACCAGCAGAGTGAGGGGCTCA